GTTTATGATTAAAAACCATTGGCAAATTGAATGTTGTCTACTTGAGGGACCACATAAAAATATATTCAATACTTTAGGAAAATAATTATGCAATTAAAATATTGGGGACCAAAATGAGACAAACTCTATACTTTGGGGAACCTCCGGTGCAATTAACTCACAACAAAATTATCAAACAAGAACAGTAATATACATGGTAAATAATCTAGTTTACAGATTTCAAATGGCAAGTTTTATAGTTACATGTAAGTAACCCTCCCATACATTTGAGCTCACTGTCAAACATTTTTTTTGTGATCAAATCCAAAACCCACTTGTATGAATCTCATTCGACTTGTGGTAAAAAATTCTAATGTCCCTCTTCAAAATCTTCATTTGGTACTTGATATGTAGTTTGGCCTTAATTTCTTTGCTTAGTAATTTCTATAGCAAGGGCTGCTTGATGACATTTAAATATCTAGGTTTCAACCCACTATCTGCTCGATGGGTTCTAGTTCCAAAAAGGCCTTAGCTAATTTAGCATCCTCATTAGAAGTCCATTTTCTCTTGTGCATACCTGGACCTAGTGATTCAACTTAAGTTGATGATGTCATTCTTGTAAAGACCATTTTAATTTGATTTCATGGTAGGAACATAGTGATTTATAACTCTAAACATGGTACAAATATGATAAAATATGAAATGAATCATAATCTCTGATAAAATTATGACAAATGAATCATAGAAAGGCAATCTCAATCAAAGGACTTTGAAATGCAAAACTCAATTTATCACATGATGTGCAAGGATATGCAAGAAAAATAGTCATCTACTCATCAATATCCATGTTTTTGGTGCGTTTTAACTTTCTTATTGTCTCAAGCATGGAACATAACCTAATGAATGCTCGTCTATTCATATTAAGTTGATCGACACATATGCCATCTTTCACACAAGCATAGTCGTAGATAATAGTCCTTCTCACAAAGAAGTCATTTTGATATTGTTGGTCTCTTAACAAATTGTTCCTTTAGTGGTAATGTTTGACAATAGACTTTATATGGAAAAAAAACAACTAACTAAATGCATGGTATTGGTCCATAACACAAATCATACAATCATTTTCATCTTCTTTGTTGATTTTCTTTTTGTTAGACTTAAACAAATCATAACTGTCACACAACTTACAAACAAAAAATCAGCATTTGGGATACTATAAATAAATAAGCTAATACTACAAATAAGAAAGCTAATACTACAAATAGATCAAATCGTCTAAGAGACATATATGGAAACATCGGATCTAGCTAAACTAGCTCACAACCTCATAACCAAAACACCTGAAAACCAATCAGACATTAATTTCATTGGTAAGACCTCAAACTGGATCATAAGAAAGTAAAAACTGAATTTGCTACACAATTGAAAATTTCAAAGAAAATTTCTATAGAAATTTGACAAATTCAAAAAATTATATTTCAAAAAAAAAATTAATTCTAATATTGCTACATAGTTTACTTAGGTTTGTCTCTAGTGGAAGTGGATTTGATGGTATTGAGGAATAAGGCTCGAGGGAAGGTGATAGACGTGACTTCGGCTTCAGTAGTGAAATACCTAAGCTATAAAAGGCCTGAGTGGTCTAAGATTGACTACCCCCATGTGAACTTTGTTGCCTAAGACCCTTCAAAGTATGTGAAGGACATGTATGATAAGACCGAGGATTTCAAGGGCACTTTCATCCATGGCCATTTAGAGGCCGATTATCATTTACTCAACAAAATCCTCCATTATAATGTCCACCCCATGGGCTCGAAGAAAAATTCAGGGATTCCAAAGATTGTACTGCTACATGAGTTCATGGCAAGGTCGAGGATCGACATTACTCTTATGATATGGGGCATGTTGAAAGGCTATTGAACGACTAGCAAACCAAATGGGAATATGCCCTTTGGTATTATGATCACCCAACTCTATCTGGAAGTTGGGGTGAAGAAGTTGGCACATTACAACAAAAAGCATTTTTTGCGATGTTTTTTTTTCGCTACGATTTTAAATTTGTTGCAAAAAGTTTACTATTCGCGACGATATTCTAATTTTGTCACAAATTTCTATTTTGGTAAATTTTTTTGCAATGCTTTTAAAAAAACATCGCGAAGCGATTCCCTTCTAATTGTTTTTTGAGGGAGAAATGGCATGAATTGGCAATTTTTTACGACAAAAATTTTTCATTGCGAATACTTGTATCTCGTCGCAGAATAAATAATCTAAAATTTAAAGTAAAATAAATTCTAAATTTCTATTTTGGCATTTTTTTTGCGATGTTTTTTCAAAAACGTCCTGAAAAGGCGATTCCCTCCTAATTGTTTTTTGCGGGAGAAATTGCGGGAATTGACAAATTAAATAAAAAATAATAATTTAATTAATTTTTCGCGATGTTTTTAAAAAAACATCGCAAATGAATTTTTACGTAACTAAAAGATTTTAAAAATAATAATTTAATTAATTTTTTGCAACATTTTTTAAAAAACGTTGCAAATAAATTTTTTCGTAACTAAAAAATTTTAAAAATAATAATTTAATTAATTTTTTGCGACGTCGCCAATAATTTTTTACGTAAATAAAAAATTAGAAAAATAATAATTTAATTAATTTTTCTCTACGTTTTTAAAAAAACGTCGCAAATAAATTTTTACGTAAATAAAAAATTCTAAAAATAACAATTTAATTAATTTTTTACGGCATTTTTAAATTTGTCGTAGAATTTAAATTTTGTAATTTTAAATCAAAATTAAAATTTTAACTACGACGTTTTATTTTTTGTTGCAGAATAGTTTTTTTAAAGAACAAAACAATCAATCTCTCAGCGACACTCTCTTCTATCTCAGTACCACTCTCTTCGATTTTCCTTCTTCAGCGCCACTCTCTCTATCTCTCGACTCCTCCTCCCCTTCTGTCTCTTCTCTCTCTCTCTCGATTTCTACTGTGCTGCATTGAGATTGACCGAGAAGCATCCCTCGTTGTTGGAATCTTTAGGCAATTGAAGTCTCAAAGTTCTGCCTAAAGTTCTGTCCAAGGCAATCGAAGTCTCAATGTCTCAAAAATATTCAATCGAAGTCAAACTTTGGATTCCACTGCGAGCTTGAATCGGCATTGTGGAGAATCAAGAACCGTAGCTTGAATCGGCATTGTGTAGAAGCAATAACCCTAGCTTTAATTGGCGATCTTTGAATTCCAGAGTGAGAGCTTGAATTAGGTTTCAATCTCTCTTCTCTCGATTTGAAGTTTTTTTTTTCTTTTTTCTATATATATTGGATTGTTCGGTTAGTAAACTTGAATGCCGGTTTAATTTCATTTCTATAAAAGTTAGATTTTTTTCAACTTTTGGGCATGTTATGTTTTTTCCCCCTTTTTTTTGCCCTAAATCGTTCCAAACCAGCTAGTCAACTCTCAAATCCCTTTCTTGGTCTGCCCCTTGAATCTGGTAAATGTGAATCTTGTGGTACTGCTGAACCTGGGTAGTGTGAAGGTATGTAGAATATTCCTTTTTTGGCTTTGTAATTTTTGTAGAAACTCTATTTTACTTATAATTTTTTTTTTGGTGGATAGTGAGCAAGTTTTCACTATTACTTTTTTATGCAATCACAAAAATACAACTGAAGTTATTCTCTGTTTCTCATTTCAAATCATTTTGGATATATTAAACTACCAATCCCAGTATACCATCCGGATCATGATAGTGAACTAAAACGGATATTAAGCTTGTTGTGCTTGAAGTGCTTGAAGATGAAAAACAGGATGGTACTGTGTCTTATCATTTCCTCTTATTTTCCTCTTATTTAATATTCAATCAATTTTAGGTATGTCCCTACTTAACGAAGTCTTTTACCAACCTTTTTGATTGAAGAGCATTCATGTGAACAAGAGTGGTTCTTACAGAAAATGTCCAATGATTTTCTTGGAGAAGAGAATCCATGACTGTCTTCATATGCTCCTCTATTCTGTGATGAACCATGACTATTCTTCATACTGAGTTGATAAAAACTGAGTATTGTCATACTTCAAGAGTTTTTTGCGCTACGATGGATTTTTTGCTCATTATTTCCACTGGAATTTCTATTTGACTTGAGATAATACTTGTGCTTATATTGTATGTGCTTTGTCTTACTGGATTCATACCTACAGTTTCAGGTCCAGAATGTTGGTGCCCTTGAAAGAATGTTGTCTTCATGTTGTGAGGTGAGCAGCTTGTTGTCAAAATGATTCCTATGAATGTGTGAAATGCTTTTATGAAAATGATTCCAAAGACATCAACGTACTATGTGAAACTACCCAAGGGATCTCAACGACAACCAAGAGTCAATTCTACAACTTTCAAGCAAAAGCTCAATGAATGAACAAATGAGTAATGCACTCAGCTTCTTCTTACAAAGGATGCACCATTGTGGTTGCATAAAATAAGACTCCCATTTTTTTTGGAGCAATTAATTATTATTTAATTTTTTATGTGCAATTAACTATGCAAAAACTTGTACCATCAAAGATAACTTACTCTTCCAAACCAAAGAAAAAGGTTCAAAGAATGGAAGAGAGGGTTATTAATAAAGTATTACAAGAAAGATTTTGAATTTATGTTCTCTAGGAATGTCACACCTATTTGTTACGTTAAAAGCTGGTACATGCACTTGCTTGTGGGTGCATCTTTGCAGTTATATGTTTTTGTTTCCATTGAAGTTTCTAGTTGCTTGTTGGAAAGGGTTTTGAAAGAAATGTAGTGCCAGTAGCATGCCTGTACAGGGTACAGCAAAACAATCTGTTGAGCCAAATAATCAAAAAAACAGGTAACTTAGACACCAATTGGTAGCATTTCATACGAAAATATTTTGCTTTTGAGTGGTAGAATTACTTTGAACATTAGATTCCTCATATTCATATCTAAACACAATGGATGAAACAAAGAAGTTGTCTATATTGTTCCACAATATTTTTTCTCCAGATTGTCAAATGATGGAGAAAGGAAAAACATGCATTTTGAAGACACAACATCAGCTTCTGAAGCAGTTGCTAAGTGTGCAAAAAAAGCAATTGGTGCTACCAAAGCTGCTGCCTATCTGACGAGTAAAGGCTCTTATCAGGTCACTCAAGCATCTGGTAATTGTAATTGCGTGACTAGTTATGAATTTGAGAACAGTTGTGGCAATTCTACTAGCAAGTTTATGCCATATGGGTTCCAAGAAAACCACCAAATTCTAGATGATCAATCAAAGGTCCCAAGGAGGATTAAGAGACAGAGCCTTGGATGCCATATGCTCTATAATGGACACACTACTAGTGGTCTACTAGTTTCTACAACCAATATCTAGAATATCACTTGTGTGGGATCGAGGTTTTTGAAAGATTTTGTTGAGCTGTGTGAGAAATGAATGCAGTTGTTAAATGTTAGAGCTGATATTGACAACAAACCAAATAAGGGAAAGTTCTATGTAGCATCTGGTTTACATGGCTTACTTTTTGTCATTTTCTTGTAGGAGGTTTCACAAATTTCAATCAATGAGGTTAAAACGACAGATGGTGCATGTTACTTGGAATTGAAATTACCATCTAGATCAAGATTTCAAGAAGGCTTCTGGGAATTTTTGGCAAAGTATGGTTTTCAATATGGTTCTAATTACAATCGGCCTTTACTTCCTTCTGAGGTTGGCTTCTTACTTTTATTTTCAATTCATCTCTGGTAATTGGTAGTTTATATTGGCATGTGATCATGTCTTGCAATTTATTCATGGTGGTTAACCTTTTCTTTTCTTTTCTTTGCATCTCCCTAGCAATATGTATTTTTTGGCCCCGGTGGTGGGGCTGAAAACTAGAGCAAGCTTGTTTCTCTTGACCTGGGAAACAACTTTTTTTTGGGTAAGCTATTGTGAATTAATTAACCCAATGCTGGAAATCCATGGAGCAATTTAGAAATAAATGATTTCTAGAATGTTTAAACTTCACATGGTAAAGCTAAGATGCCCAACTTGTTATGAGCTATGGTATGTGGGATTGAGTACTTTTGCTAAGTGTCAGTGTGTTCTAGGTTTCAGTACATTTGTCACTAATTATAGAGAGCTTCTTTAAATCATCAAGTGAGATGAGATATGGTGATTTTTTGTTACATTTTTTTGTGCTGAGTTTCCATTTGTTTATTTTATCGTTTTGCAGTCTATCCCAAATCAGAAAATCCACTGGAGATCTATGGAAGGTCTCCCTAACAGGTAAAAAATTGTTTGATAGATACACATAACATGAAAAAACAAGGACAAACTAGTTGTGCTAACTGCTTAACTTTGTTAGGATCAGTGAGTAAATTTCATTTCCTCCCTTTAACAATGTAAACACACGACTACAACACAACACTTTGTACTTCTTGCTACTGCCACCTTATTCTTCCCTGCTTATAAGCTAATGCCACCTTATGTTGCTGTAAGCAGGAGGAATGCAACATGGAGGTTGCCAAAAGCAGCTATAATTCCTAACTTCAATCTCCCAATGCGTAGTTTTGAAGTTAAAAATAGGAAAGCTAGCATCCCCTACTTTCTCTTTTTTCACTTTGAATCTTTTTTATTTTGGTGTTTACATTTAAGAAAACAGATTAGGCTGGTTGATTTAAATTTTATGTTTAGGTGTGGGTAAATTATTAATCCTCAATGCACATTAAATCTAGATAAAATACTGAGGTCAACAGATTTTTTGAACTAGTTATAGATCTAAAAAATGTTTCCATCTCATTTAGGGATAGAATCTGTTAAACATGGCTATGGTTGTGGTTAATTGTGGCGTGTTCTAAAATTACATGTTCTGTTTTGAAAGCTTGAGCACCTCTATTTTTCTTCTATATGCAGGACTTCTATAGAGGACATAAAGTCTCTTAGATTGATAACTGCCATCAAAACCCCGTATCTACCAGATGGGAGATTTGATCTCGAGGCATATGATGCCTTGGTGAACATGCAGATTGAAAATGGAGCTGAGGGAGTGATCGTCGATGGCACTACTGGTGAAGGCCAGTTGATGAGCTGGGATGAACACATCATGCTAATTGGTCACACAGTTAACTGTTTTGGTGGATCTATCATCATTGGAAACACGAGAAATCCAAAAGTTTGTGGAAAACCCTCTCGGAGGGCACTTGGAGTGAGGCATTTGATGGTCTAGGGATATCTTAAATGTAATTAGAGATGGTTTAAATCCTCTTGAAGGATTAAAGCCATTTTTTCTATTTTTAGGTTGGGCCTCAAGGTTGAATAGGCATGGCCAAGATCTATCTTCTCCAACCCATATATCATAGTCTTCAAGGCATCCCTCATCTTCCAATTACTTGCAAGAACATTGAGTTCACCCCAAGACTTTCGACTAAATGCATCGGCGACTACATTGGCCTTCCCTAGATGGTAATTGAGTGTGAAATCATAATCTTATAGATACTCAACCCACCTTTTTTGCCGAAGATTCAAGTCTTTTTGTGTGAACACATACTTGAGGCTTTTATGATCCGAGAACACTTGAAACTTTTCCACATACAAGTAACATCTCCACGGCTTGAGAGCAAAAACCACAGCGGCAAGCTCTAAGTCATGGGTGGGATAATTCTGCTCATGAACCTTGAGTTGCCTAGAGCCATAGACAGCCACCTTCCCTCCTTGCATTATTAGCACAGACCCCAAGCCTCGTAGCGAAGCATCGGTGTACACATCTTATCCTTCTCTACTACTCGGAATAATGAGGACAGAAACGGTTGTCAACTTCTCCTTTAAGGTGCAAAAGGCTTGTTCACACGCTTGAGTCCATAAAAAACTTTTCTCCCTTCTTCGTAAGGCGAGTCACCAGCATCGCTAGCTTGGAGAACCCTTCCACAAACCTTCGGTAGTAGCCTACTAAACCCAAGAAGTTACGTACTTCGGTCACATTCTTAGGTGGTTCCCATTTCATCACGGCTTCAATATTTGCGGGATCAACAGCTACCCCTTGTTTCGACACAACATGGCCAAGGAATTTCACTTCCTTCATCCAAACCTCACACTTACTCATCTTCGCATATAACTTATGTGCTCTCAATGTCTGTAGCACAATAGAGAGATAGTGTCCATGTTGCTCGAGAGTCGGGGAATAGATTAGTATGTCATCAATAAACACGATGACATACTAATCTAGATACAGTCGAAATACCCTGTGCATTAAATCCATGAAGACAACGCCCACCCATTTTCCAAGGAAGCTCCAATCCCTTGGATGCGGATAGGTGAATCCGCCGAGTGAAGAAGATTTGTGACGGCATGGGTGTGGCTGATGACCTTGGGGTCTTGGTGACATATCTATTGGAGGGAGAGGCCAGCCATTGGTGGGATTCCGTAAAGAAAAGGAGGAACACTGATGTACTCATTTGGGAGGATTTCGACCAAATCTTCTAAGATAAGTATTTTTCAAAATCAGTTAGAGATAGAATAAAGGTAGATTTTCTTGCTCTACGACAGGGCAGCATGACGATGGCCGAGTACCAGAGGAGGTTTGACAAGCTATCCCGTTATGCTACTAAGTTGATATCTACTGAGGCCAGCAAGGCCAAGGGCTTTGAGCAGGGATTAAGGCCTATTATTCAGGAGAAGTTGGTGGCCCTCAAGATCAGGGAGTATGGGGATATGGTGGACCAAGCTGCACTTGTGAAAAGAGACATAGAGGATAGCCAGAGACGACAGAGCTTCGCAAGAAGAGGTCTGATCCAGGAGTAGTGAATTACAGCGAGTGGCACCATACCAATGGCCAGAACAGGCAAGTGGACAGAGACTTCTGACAGCCCGAGGAGATGGAGTTGCTCAGACTAGAACAAGCACTGACCCTCGTCAATGGTTTGCATACGGAGAATTTGGGCACTTCAAACATAGATGCCCCTCATTTTCCCCAAGGACCAATCAAGCAAGGTACCAGCAAACAAGCCACCCTTACAAAGGCCAGCACAGCAAAGACCATTACAAGCTCAAGCCCCCAACGACACCAATCAAGGGAGAGTTTTTGCTTTGACTGAACCGGAGGAGGATGCTTCTAATGTTGTAATGGAAGGTATCGTGCTTCTTTATAACTCTTGGGTCTGAATCTTATTTGATCCCGGTGCTACACACTCATTCATATATACTGCATATGCTTTAAATTTGGGATTAGGATTAGGATTGGGATTTGAGAAGCTAGAATATGCCCTTAGTATTGACATGCTCACGGGAGAACGGTTGTATACAACAAGGGCATGCAGAGGATGTGTGCTTCGCATTGGGGAGCAAGAGGTGGTTGTCGATTTGGTTGCGTTAGATATGAAGGGGTACGACGTTATATTTGGGATGAATTTTTTGTCCACTTTTTGTGCGGTAATGGAATATTTTCGTAAACGTATTTCTTTTCAACTATCGGGAGGGGTAGTATTCAGTTTCATGAATGACCGAAATTCCTTCCATCCATTTCCCACTACGAGAAACAGATTTTTGAAAGCTAAGGCGAGAAGCACTTTGAGTTTCTTAGCCAGCTTAATGGGAGAGGATCAGGATAAATCCCATGCAGACGTGGTGTTGATAGTATTAGATTTTTCAAATGTCTTCCCAGATGAACTACCTGGGTTACCCCCACACAGGGAGATTGAGTTCAAGATTGATCTATATCTGAGAACCGAACCCATATCCATTGCTCCTTATCGGATGGCACCTTTGGAGTTAAAGGAGCTAAGGAAGCAGTTGGACCATCTCTTAGCCATTGGGTTTATCCGTTTGAGTATTTCACCATGGAGAGTCCCGATCCTCTTTGTGAAGAAGCATGACGAGACACTTTGATTATGTACGAATTATCGAAGGTTAAATCGAGTAACAGTGAAGAACAAATATCCCTTGCCAAGGATTGACAATTTATTCGATCAGTTGAGGGGTTCCAAGTATTATTCCAAGATTGATCTTCATATTGGGTATCATCAATTGTGGATCAAGGAGGAAGATATTTCTAAGACTATTTTTTGTACCCGGTATGGTCATTTCAAGTATACGGTGATGCCGTTCGGATTGACTAATGCTCCAATAGCCTTCATGGATTTAATGCATAGGGAATTTTGGTCGTATCTAGATCAGTGTGTCATTGTGTTTATTAATGACATACTAATCTATTCCTGGACTCACGAGGAACATAGACGTCATCTCTCTATTGTGCTACAGACATTGAGAGAACATAAGTTATATGTGAAGATGAGTAAGGGTGAATTTTGGATGAAGGAAGTGAAATTTCTTGGCCATGTTGTGTCGGAACAAAGGGTAGTTGTTGACCCCGCAAAGATTGAAGTCGTGATGAAATAGGAACCACCTAAGAATGTGACCGAAGTACGTAGCTTCTTGGGTTTAGCAGGCTACTACCGGAGGTTTGTGGAAGGGTTCTCCAAGCTAGCGATGTTGATGACTTGCCTTAAGAAGAAGGGAGAAAAGTTCTTGTGGACTCAAGCGTGTGAACTAGCTTTTTGCACCTTGAAGGAGAAGTTGACAACCGCTTTTGTCCTCATTATTCCGAGTAGTGGGGAAGGATACAATGTGTACACCGAAGCATCACTACGAGGCTTGGGGTGTGTGCTAATGCAAAGAGGGAAGGTGGTTTCCTATGGCTCTAGGCAACTCAAGGTACATGAGCAGAATTATTCCACCCATAACTTAGAGCTTGCCGCTGTGGTTTTTGCTCTCAAGCTGTGGAGGTGTTAGTTGTATGGGGAAAAGTTTCAAGTGTTCTTGGATCATAAAAGCCTCAAGTATGTGTTCACACAGAAAGACTTGAATCTTCAACAAAGAAGCTGGGTTGAGTATCTAGAAGATTATGATTTCACACTCAACTACTATCCGGGGAAGGCCAATGTAGTCGCCGATGCACTTAGCCAAAAGTCTTGGGGTGAACTCAATGTTCTTACAAGTAATTGGAAGATGAGGGATGCCCTTGGAGACTATGATCTATAGGTTGGAGAAGATAGATCTCGGTCATGCCTATTCAACCTTGTGGCCTAACCTACCATTCAACGTAGGGTTGTGGAATTACAATGCTAAGATCCTAATTTAGCATCGATTTGAGCTAAATTAGAGAATGGAGAAATAATGGAGGGTTGGTCTTTGAGAAATGGAGAACTGAGATATGGGGAGATATGAAGGAGATATTTGGAGAGTGTCATCGCTCTAAGTTTGCTATAAACCCCGATAGCACAAAAATGTATAGGGACATGAAGTGCCAATATTGGTGGAAGGGTATGAAGAAGGATGTGGCAAGGTTCATAGCACGATGTGCGGTGTGCCAGCAGCTGAAGATTGAACATCAAAAGCCAGGAGGATTACTACAGTCTTTGTCTATTCTAGAGTGGATGTGGAATCACATCACCATGGACTTCGTGTCAGGTTTTCCACAGACTTCACACAGTCATAATGTCGTATGGGTCATTGTGGATAGAGTTACCAAGTTGACTCATTTCTTGAGTATGAAGACCGTGGACACCTTGGAGAGCTTGAGCAAGCTATATATTCGCAAGATTGTTCGATTGCAAGGAGTTCTGCTTTCTATTATTTCGGATCACGATTCTCGTTTCATGGCACAATTTTGGCAAAGTTTACAACGAGCTATGGGGACAGAGTTACCCTTTAGCACTGTTTTTATCCTCAAATAGATGGCCAATCTGAGAGGGTGATACAAATTTTGGAGGATATGCTCCGTGCTTGCGTATTGGACTTCAAGGAAAGTTGGAGTGACCATTTGTCATTGGTGGATTTTTCATACAACAACAGCTATCAAGCAAGTATTGGAATGGCTCCGTATGAAACATTGTGCGGAAGACCATGTCGATCACTGACGTGTTGGTTTGAAGCGGGCGAGAGTAGTTTGTTTGGGCCAGAAATTGTTTGGGAAACTATAGAGAAGATTCAACTCATCCGGGAGAGATTATGCACGGCACAAAGTAGACAGAAAATCTATGCGGACAGAAGAAGAAGACCACTGGATTTCCAAGAAGGGGACTATGTTTTCCTCAAAGTGTCGCCTAAGAAGGGAGGTTTGAGATTCGGCAAGAAGGAAAAATTGGCTCCAAGGTACATTGGACCATTTGAAGTTATCAAAGTCGTGGGCAAAGCGCGCGTATCAACTTCAGTTATCGGCTCAGTTATCAGGGG